GTGATGAGGTGTTAGAGGATCATCTCGTGGACATAGGATTTATTGTGACTTACCAGTTAGACATGGTCGAGTGATCAATCTAGTGAGTAAGGTAGGCGATGAGAGGAGAAATTTATTCCTGAGGTGCAAGCAACACGGAATGTGATAGAAAAAGTGAGATAGATCTTTTCATAGGATCATTCATGCATTTGTGGCATGCGTCTTTTGACCATTTGAATTATTAACTTAGTGTTAATCTGTTGTTCTATTTGAACATATTTTTGAAAAGATTTGTTGGTTATCCTATTTTATATCACCATTGCATGGTTATTTATTTTTGAATGTTCACTGTGATTATCTGCTTGTACTTGAATGTTTTTTATTTTTTTTAAACCTTAACCCTAATGAGTACATGTAACATGTATGGTATGTGTTTCAAGTCCGAAACACACTTTAAGGTTTGTAAATTCAATTTTATTGGTTATCCTGATTATGCAAGTAATAACTATGTATTTTGATTGTTTGTAGATTATTGGACATCAAAATGTGTTGGGCTTTGATACCCAAAAAATCTTGGGCTATGATTTTGACATGGGAAGATATTTCATAGGCTTCAGTCAATAAGTAAAATAATTACCAATAACCAAGTCCAAAAGCTCTACCCACCCCATTTATGTTACCACTTGGATGACTTTGAATCTTGGTCCATTTAGCTTTGATATTGGTCCAATTAAAAGCCTAAGCTAAACCCTACTTATATGGTTTTAACCGTTGCTTTTTTGGAGTATGATTTGTGCGTAAAAATAAGGGAAAACCGTGGCCTTGTGGAGAGAAAAAGTGGCTTACGTTGTGGTGCAAAAATTGGGTACTTCCATTGTCCAAAAATCATGAATTAACTTTGTGTTTTGACCTTCATCTCATGTCTTCTTCCGTTGCTTTTCCCTTGTTTTTGTGGTTACAAATCATCACCGTTATCTTATCTTTTGTGAGTGAGATTGAGAAACAACCGAAGTGAATATATTGATTGTGAATTGAAGTCGTTTGGATTGGTTGTTTGGTAGAGAAATGTAATGTTAAATTGAGTCCGGAAAATAACATTTTGACGATCTTTGAAGCTATACACCAACCGAGTGTGTTATATAACATTAAATTTATATGAATGACATCTATAGTTGTACTATACACCAAAAACTGCTGGAAAAAAAAAAGAAAAAGAGAAAAGGAAAAACAAAAGCTACAGAGCCTAAACATTACATACTATTATTGGAAGAGTTTAAACGCTGGCACATATAATATACCTTTACTCCAAGAGTAAAGGGTCATTCCATTTTTCTCAACATTGAAAGGTCCAATTTCCTCAGGTAATCCATACGCAACAGATGAACATCCAGGCCCTGAAAAGTGGATGGAACTTTGCAGCATCAAATTCGATAACTGAAAAGTGAAAAGGAGAGCAAATCCAAGATAGAGTTTATATAAGTTGTGGAAGTTTATAATTAAGAGAAGAGAAGAAATATCAGTATATTTCTTGAATAATTTCATAGCTAATGCTAAAACGTTTTGGAAATATCAAATTATAATATTTGCCCAGAGGGATAGATATGGTGCTCTTTCTAGCTCAGATATAGTATCACAATTTCATATGAGCAAAATCGCATGTTTCTTTGTACATATCTCCCAATATCGTAACAAATTCAACAAAAGAAACAACAAAAAATTAAAAAATATATTTTATTTTATTTATTTTATTTCATAGCAACACTTTCTAGTAGATTGATCATGCCTCGAATTAATTATTTTTTTATTTTGTGTTATAAAATAAAAATATTCCAGCACCATGGCTGACGAACGGCGACGAAAGGTGACAACGATAACTTCTAAGAGATTAAGTTGAGCATATCTCTCTCTCTCTCTCTCTCATACTAACAAGGATGTTTGTATATATACAACCTTTTTAGGTATAATAATTTATCTTAACGATTTATATAATTCTATTAAAATGGATCATTATTGCTGAGATTGTTGGATAATTTATATGCAATAACAAAATACATAACCTCTAGATGGCCTACATTGTTCTAATTTGTTAGGTAATTTGGACAGGGATGAAAACACAATTCTTGTCTCGAATCCTGCCTCTTAAAATTAAGAACTTTGTTATTTGTACACTGATTTTTGACACTTTGATTGACAGTTGTATTGTTGTCAAATGTCAATTGGATAAAAAACTATTTGAAATTTGAATTGTTCAATAGAGTAATGTTATGTGGTAAAATGTAAACTAAAGTATATAACATTGTATACATGTAGCAAGGTTCTAAAATTAAATTTAAAGAAATACTTGTTCACATATTAGATTTAAGAAAACCATTGACATCAAGATTTATAATTTGAAATTGACAACAATAATCAATTGTGAAATACAAAAGAAGCAAAAAAAAAAAAAAATTGATATCTAACCAGTACTATGGTGGATGAACGACGACGACGAAAACGATAACTTTTATGAGATTAGGCTTAGATTCTTATCTATCTCTTGTACTAACAAAGATGTAACGACAAAGTCATTTTATTCCCTCACGTACCATTGATAACATTTTATGTTATAAGAGAAATTGAGAAGCATTTTTTTGATATCATTCATTGCTACACCATCACTATCAAGGCCACCACCTATATTATTCACTATTAGACTATCACCGTTGGGCTCAACACTGATAACATCTACTGCTACATTTCGAAATTCTTCAAATTTCGAATTTTAAATGTATATCAAATCAAAATTTCTATTTCAAAATTATCAAAATTTATTCCAAACTTTATGAAATTTTAGAAAACAAAAACAAAATTTAAAATATATTTACAAAATAGAAATCCATTGTTAACCACGGAATCTATGTATCGAGGACACTATTTATTTATCATTTTTCGAATTTTGCCTTCTTTTCACAAATGTTTTCAATAGAAATCATTTTTTCTTTATGTTTTTGAGAGAGAGAGAATAAACTTTTGCATTTTGCAATATGTTACCGATGGAATAAATTATTTAGTGCTTGTTTGGTAGGGATTTTGATAATTAATTTTTGACCATTAGAGATAAAGTGAATCCTACTTGTAAAAGAAGAATTCAAAAATGACGGCCAAAAAAATTGATTTTAATTAACTAAAAATCTATACCAAACAATCTCTTAGCAAGGATTGTTTCCGATGGAACCAATTATTTTCCTTTTAATTTTATAGTTACCGATGGAATAATTCATTTTAAGATTCATCGGAAAATATTAATTAATTAATTAATTTTATCAATGGATTAACAATGAATTTTTTTCAATGGAAGATTTCAATCGATAAATTCGTCGATACCAAAATATCCTTGATCTAAAGATAATTAAAAAAGGTTAATGTTTATTGTTCGTTGGTAATTTAATTATGGCGTTGGTAGTCTGTCGTTATTAATGATGAAAATTGACTATGAATAAATTACCATCGTTGAAGCCACACTTTCTAGTAGTGGATGTTAGGATGTCAATACAGATTCGAATTTAAAAATTAAATAAAAGTTACGTTCCTCGAATTTAAAAATTAAATAAAAGTTACGTTCCTCCAGGGACGGATCCATAAAATCATG